CTAAGACCCTACAAGCCTTGACAGCTAAACAATCATCTGCAACTAAATCAACGGAACCATCACAGTCAAAACGTTGTGGGCGTCGCAGAGCTTCACATGTCGCAAAGTCAAATGAGAACCAGAGCACTCGAGTGCCACCAGTCCAAAATGAGTCTTCTACGTCGAAAAAGATTTCTTACTATGACCTGCAGAAGGAGAAGCACAAAGCGGAGAGTAAGTACTCCAATCTAATATTATCCGATGATAAATTCTTATCAACTCCTTACCTTCAGGCGGCCAAGCGCCAAGGTACCCGAAAATAGAAATACCAAAGCCTCCGCCACCTCGGACAACATATCGCAGATCGCTGCAACTAGAGAAGATGTTAGCAGCTGAGAAACTGCTGAAGGAAAATGAGAAAAATGCATTAGCGGAATCTAAAGATATTCCGGCTCCTGCTACTGCTACGGTTTCTACTCCTGCCGCTGCTAGTGCTCCTAGTCCTGCTCCTGCTCCTGCTGCTGCTACGACTCCCGCACCTGCTGCTGCTGAGGCTCCTACTCCTGCTACTGCAACTTTTAAAGCTCCTGCTACTGTTAAGGCACCTACTCCTGCTGCTGCTAAGGCTCCTACTCCTGCTACTGCTACTTTTAAGGCTCCTACTCCTGCTGGTACTACTTTTAAGGCTCCTACTCCTGCTACAGCTACTTTAAAGGCTCCTACTCCTACTGCTGCTAAGGCTCCTACTCCTACTGCTGCTAAGGCTCCTACTCCTGCTACTGCTAAGGATCCTACTCCTGCTACTGCTACTTTTAAGGCTCCTACTCCTGCTACTGTTAAGGCTCCTACTCCTGCTGCTACTACTTTTAAGGCTCCTACTCCTGCTACGTCTACTTTTAAGGCTCCTACTCCTACTGCTGATAAGGCTCCTACTCCTGCTACTGCTACTTTTAGGGATCCTACTCCCACTGCTGCCAAGGCTCCTACTCCTACTGCTGCTAAGGCTCCTACTCCTGCTACTGCTACTTTTAAAGCTCCTACTCCTGCTACTGCTAAGGCTCCTACTCCTGCTGCTACCACTTTTAAAGCTCCTACTCCTGCTACTGCTACTTTTAAAGCTCCTTCTTCTACTGCTGCTAAGGCTCCTACTCCTGCTACTTCTACTGTTAAGGCTCCTACTGCTACGTCTGCTGCTGCCACTGCTCCTACTACTGCTGCTACTCCTGCTCCTGCATCGATTGATCAGCCAATAATGGGCCCGCCAGCAAGAGTTTCATATCGCAGATCTTCGCAGTTGCCGAATACTCCAGCCCAAGAGCCCAGTGATGTTAAGCAACAGCAAAAAATGGAGCCCCAAGCTGTTCCAGCTGAGCCAAATCCAAGAACCAAAGACGGTAAGTTTTAAAATTACAAATTTTGTGCAATTTGATAGTAAACCAAAACTTTATAGTCGATATTAAAAAAGCAAGCACTCCAGGCACAAGGCGTTTATCATTAAATAATTCATATACCAGACCAACACAGCACACGTGGAGGACACCAAGCACCACTCCAAGCACAGCTCCAAACACAGCTCCCAACACAGCTCCCAAAACAGCTCCAAGCACCGCGCCAAGTACAGCTCCAAGCACTCCAAGCAATATCGGTGAGTGTATGCCCAAAATGTTTTTAAATTTGATTGTCACTAGCTAATTGCAGGTGCTCGACGGTTGTCCTTGGAGCCCAAAGTGCTTGAGCCTAAGGCGCTTGATCCTCAAACACAAGCAAATGAGCACAGTGCACAGCCCTATCGAAGATCATCTCAATACTTGACGCCATCCCAGTATAAATATCAGCACCATCAAAGCGATGGCAATCAAATGCAGCGACGGCATTCCATTAATAGCTCAAGTCCTCAACTGCCGGGGTATTCGCCCAGTGAGTAACTGTTATTTCTACCAACACAATTTAGAAGAACTTACAGAAGAACTCTCTTGCAGTGCCTCCACAGCCAGGGCTCCCAACTCAGTCCACAGCAGCACCCACGACGCAGCCATATCGTAGATCATCGCAGTGCTTTCCAACACCGAGCGATCCTAATACCTTTCGGTACGATTACAATGATAAGGCAAAGAACAAGGCTGCTGATTCGATTCAGCACTCTAGCAAGAAGACTGGTATGTCATACATTTATTTATAAATTTTCTAGAGAATAATATACAATAATTTCTTTAAAGAACATCTTCGTAGGCGAACATATGGCCCACCAAGTCACCTTATATCGTCCTCCGACTTGGATGACAAAAACATTTTGTACATACGCAATCTGAGTATGGAGATTGTGCACCACCAGGTATTTGAGCTGTTCAGCTCCTTTGGCAATCTGAAGCGTGTCTACGTGCATCAACGCTCCGATAACTACAAGTACGCGATGATAATTTACATTAGTGAAGAGTCCGTGAAACGAGCCCTGTCTGCCAATCCGCATAGGCTGAACGACAAGAAATACATTTGCCAGCAGGCCAACCCCTGGCACTTGGGGCACTTCAAAATCGACAGCCAACTGTCTGCATCCATAGATACAACAAACTCCCGAGATCGGTTCCGAATGCGACTACCTTACGGCGTCGTAATGCGCTCTTATTTTTACGAGTCGCATCCAAGCCCAAGCCAGAGCAGCAGAGCTGATGGCGAGCCGAAGAAAAGATCTGCCCTGCTGCCGAACCTCTGCTTGGCCCTCTTACATTACACAGACACTAAGCAGCCCCTACCAAAGTCTGAATGCAAAACGGAGCCAGCGCCAGTGATGAGCTATCAACAGCAGCTCTTTGCCGGCATGGACAAGAGCTACAGGTTTGAGCGCCACAGCTACACGAATTTCGTGGCCTACCAGAAGAAGCCTGGCCACTACGAATCGGTGCCCATCGACCTTGAAGTGGGACTGACAGCTATAGCCTATGCAGATATTCGCGATAAGCTAGAGTTAATATCATTTCATTATCGCTGACAATGCAAAATGAGTAAAGTAACCTCTTTCCTCAGATTTTCTCTATATTTAAGTTTATTTTATGCACCGACTTCGCTCTTTTATATGCTGATAAGATTTTGCCCCATTGGGCCCGTTCCGCTCCTGTGCTTATGTGCACTTATGTATTTGTGTAATGCTGATGGGGCTCGTTTGCTGTGCTGGCAAGTGAAACCGTATAATTTGAGCATCATGTTGATGCACTTATCAGTGCGAAGCTGCTTGCCAAGTGCAAGCCAAGCCAGTGCAATAGATAAACATCAAGAGCAGGCAGCTGGAACCGCGTTACTCTTTGGCTTTGCCATTGCTGGGCACACCCGGAATGCAGTCGGAAGCGCGTTGGAGCAATTGCAACAACATGCGATGTGGCACTTGCATACTTATGGCATCATCTCCATTGAGCCATTGCTTATTAAAACATCCCCCGTCCTGGTACCGCAGCTGATGCTGCTCTGGGGCTGGGATGCAGCGTGTGTGATTTTTACAGTAGAGCCATTCGCTTTGATTGCTTTTGGACAACGCGTCGTATGATTGTTTCTGGAGCACTCTTGCTGGGATTAGGGTCTGCAGCGCGTCACTAAGTGACTCAAGTGCGAGCGTGCAACTCGCATTGGACGTGGCAAAATTGATTTGTGCACGTGTGCAGTTAGCTAATGAGCCGAGCAGGAGCGGACATTGCTCCAGTGGAGCTCACGCAGCTGCATAGCTAAAGCGTCACAAGACATTGCGCAATTGCCAGCGTAATGGCACTGCCTGCCTCTAGAATCTGGTGGCTGACAGCTGAGCGCGTGCACAGGACAACTGACAGCGGGTGGCCTCAGCTGTTTGCGTGGCTCGGCTAATTAACAATACAACAAAATGAACAGAGAGATAGAGTGAGAGAGAAAGAGAGAGCAAAAGCATGCAGTGAGGCAGGTTAACTCGCTCTGAACATGTTACAGCATTAAAATTTAACGTAAGGCTAATGACTACCTGGTTAGAAGACAATGTAACTCGGATAAGGATAGGGCTCTGTACAACCCGAATGCCCTAATGAGCTGCAAAAATAGCTGAACGAAACACCAGAAAGCTTTTGGCAACAATCATTAAATTTTACTGCACTCTATATACAATTTAAACTCTTGATTATGTATTTAATTAATTAATATTATTTAAAAATTTGCAACTAGATTTACATGTTAGAACTTTGAATTTCATTTTGAGCTGAATTTTATTTTTAATTTATATACATACCCAATCATGTTGGTCTCTCATATCAAATATTTTACAGAATAGATATTAAAAATTTTATATATATTTGCATTTATTTATATATATGTCTACACCTTTCACTCTTTTAATATTTATATATTAATAAAGTTTTTGATATTTTTTAATGTATTTAAATCCATAAAGCTGCATGCTCTTGAGCCACATGAGCATCTGAAGTAAATGATTTAAGTCTCAAGAGCACCCAGTATAGATGATAATCCCACTTAATACTTTAATGCCAGTTATAACTAAGGTCTGCTATCACACGTAGTACGTTTCATACAAATTGCTGGACATTGCAGCTATTGTCATTAGGTGCTGATGGCCTGGGCTTGCCTTGGCCAACGTCAGCGATGCAGTCGTGCATCCCAAATTGCTGTCAACAAAGTTGGTCAACGGCCAGTCAATACTGGGCTAGGCAGGACATCCGGGCCGATAGTTGAGACGCGCCCAGGATGTGACGCTTAATGTGTTTGCTAAAGCCAAAGACATTCACGCAGTCATCAGGCACATGCTTTGTCTCTCTTTGTGTGTGTGTGTGTGTGTGGCGGAAAGTGTTTTGGGAAATCAGCGACAAATCGAAAACGAAATGAGTTTTTGTTAAATGTTAAATGACGAGCGAAAACGTAGCTCTGATTACTCATTTGGGAACGCTGAAATCGAACGGCAGTAAATCACAATAGTTCGCAAATAGTTCGCACTTCAGGCCAAAGTCAGCTGAGCTTTAAGACTTCTGTGTATTCGGTGAGGCAAGTAACATGAATTATAAATTAAAATATACATTTTTAATGCAAAATGTTGGCAACTTCAGCAGTCACGTCGTCGACTCATGCCCGATGCCTGGCACTCTGCTAGGGATACCAAAGAGATTTACAAATTTGGCAAAAATGGCTAAGATTTATAGTGGCCAAAGGCGAGTGGATCCCACAGCGTTAGCAGTGCGTGTTGTTTGGCAAAAGTTGTTCGGCAACATTTAAGCGCAATTTTCCTTTATTTTTCAGCTCAGCGCAGCAACTGTGGAAATTAGCAGCTGTTGTGGCAGACACCAAAGGAACTATGCGTATTTTTTGCCAAGGCCACCTGCGAAAAGTTGAAAATATATTTCGTTGTTCCGGCTGTTGTTGTTGTTATTGTTGGCAGGCAACAACTAATCTGTTAATTTATGTTGAAAAGTTCAGCAAGTTTTGAAGCGCTTAGCAAACAAAATGCAATAAATTATTAAGAATATTGCAAGAGCGTAAGAGAGAGAGACAGAGAGAGAGCAGGAGACTTGGTGGAATTTTTGTGCATTTCATTAATTTACGTTTGTTTGCCAACTACAAGTGTAAAGGTGTCTGTGTGTGCATGTGTGTGTGTATATGTTTGTTCTCAGCACTGTTTGATTTCAACACTTGGCCGCAACAATAGAAAAACTCGAGCCAGCCAAAAGGCAAAAGTCACACGCAAAAGATAAACATGCTCAGCAACGAGTCCAACGTAGTCCTCAGCCCAGCCCTCAGCCATCGAAGCCAGCCGAAAGCCACTCCTAGCCAGCTGCATGGCCCTGGAACGTGCCCAAGTCTAAAGTGGCTAACGAAAAGTTAAAATGTTCTTATGCATAAGTGATGCGACGTCACATTCTTTTCATGGACTCGCAACTCGCACTCGCAGTGACTTTGGCTCTCTGACTCCTGCTCCGGCTCCGGCTCCTGCTCCGGCTTCTGCTCGTGCTGTCGGCTCTCGTTCAGCTGCTGGCGACAAAGCGCTCACGAAGTGCCCGCATTGCAGTTGTTTCGCTTCTTTGCTGTCCCGGCCAGTGGCGCCTTTTTTGACTGCAGCATGAAAACTTAATGCCGTAATTAACTGTTTGCGTTTGTGTTTAAAGGCCGCGACAGCGAATTAAATGGCTCGCAGTATCGCGTATACGCAGCGTGTGGCTTAAGCCGCAACTTCCCCAACAACGAATCGCACTCGCAATCAACATCGCCATCGCCCTGACCCGCTTGCGGCTGCATCTCACGCCGACTTGGACCTCGTGTTCAGGTATTGCCATTTGTATGCGGGCCTGAAGCCAAACCAAGCCAAAAATAACCCGTAACGAATTTCTCGCGCTTTTTTTGTTTCTCCAACATTATCAGCACAAATCTGAAATGCCGTGACAACAAACTTCCGCTGACTGTCCAATACAAAAAAAAGTTAAAAAAAAAAAAAAAACACAGCTAAAAAAAGTTTAAAAAAATAAATAAATACTCGACTAAAAAATACCCTGATAAAGGGAAAATTTATTAGTTTTTTTTTTTCAAGTTTTTACAGTCTACTATTTTTTTATTTTTATACATCTTTTAATTATGAATTTAAAAAAATATATATATTTATATATGTCTTTATATATATAAGCTTATATTATTTATATTTTCTACTTGAATTCAAGTTCCACATTCATTAATAAGGAATGCTTCAATAGCTTAAGTAGTTTACCTTTTGTTTACCTCGGGTTTACTATTAGAAATAGTTAGATAGAAATTAAATTGCTTCGATTATAGATTTAGTTATTGCCAAAAAATGCTGAGAGGATTTCCTTTCTCTTCTATTTATTTCTGTTTTTTTTTTTTTCACATATCCGTATGTCATGCGAATGGCAAGCAAATCGAGTGCCACAGACATTTCGACTAGCAGCCGTCCAGGAAATGGCTGTAAAAACATTTGAGCTCGAATTTCCCCCCATAGAAATTAAGTTTGATGACTTTGCGCAAACAGCAAGCTGCAGAGCGCGATTTCATTTCCGACGCTTTAACACTATTAAAAACGCTGAAATTGAAAATGTTGCTGCTAGGTTTGAGGACAAGGTCTTGACTCACCAGTTTGGGCCAGCGTAATGCAATTGTCAATTGCAATTAGTGCGCTTAATGCACTTTTTGGATACATTCGTGTTTACCGTCTCGCCTCAAAACCGAAACGGACCGCACCGCCCCGCCTCCCTCCCCCCTAAATGTCTGTCAACCTGTCATGCAATCAGCGTACCCAAGAGCTGCTCGCACACTTATATGCCATGAACAGTAGCAGTTGTACAAGGACTCGCCCGGCCACCTGCCCACTCGCCGCCAGCCTGCAGACTGCGTCGACTTGAGCGTCCTTCAGCTGAACGATGATACTTTAGCTCGTTGAGTAGACACACACATTGTGGCTGCATAATTGTTGAGTGCATTGCTTGGCTGCAAATTAAACAAGTTTTTTGCCCACAACTAGCACAAATAATCACATTTTTAGAGTATTCCAAATTTTAATGGCACCCTTGAATGACTTGTGAAACGAATGCAAAGCCTCTATGCCTCTCCAGAGTCTCACTTAATTACCATTCACATAAGTAAATTTATTTAACTATTAAATATATAATTTATTTAGCATCCTTTCGAACAATCAGTCGGAGATTTCAGTGTGGAACTACAATATAGACTTCTATGAAGCGCTGCTTGTCTCATCTGCTCATCTCATTTGGTCTGGCAGCACTTGGGGGCCGTCTTGCCGGCGCATTGGCATTGCTGGTTTCCGGCGCAGCTGCTGCCGCATTTGCCGGACGTGCACTGGCAGTCTAGAAGCAGGATTGAGCTCATTAATGGAGACCATCACTCGATGAGGGAATAGACTCTACTCACTGTTTCCGCATCCTTTGCAAGGCATTTTCACTTTAGTATTTTTATTTTGCACTTTTTCACAATGGAATGGCCAACACAACGATTGCTGTTGATTTACTGTTGTTCAATGTGCTCACAGCGCCGCCTTTTATATCGCCACGCCAAGCTGATAAGCCACAAAAAAAAAAAAAAAACAACAACAACAAGAAAAGAAGCCGTGCGCAGCTGTATGCGTGAATCGTGCGCAAAACTAAATACGCTGATATCAGGTCGGCTACGCAATTTTGCGCACGCCCTGATAAGCCGGCTATGTGTGTGCGCTTAGTACTTGCTAATTGATCACTGATAACTCTTTTTATCCCACCACAAATGGTGTGCAAAAGACCGACTGCATTCCCTCGAAATCTATAAAATGCCAGCGACAGCGAGCCGAGTCAACAAAGTCAGCGAGAACATCGTGTCGAACACACTTGTAAACACAGCGATATAAACAAACAGAAAATGGGTTGCAAAGCTTGTGAGACCAGTGAGTACATACATACATACATATATACATATATATGAATAAACAACGTCGGATAAGTATTACAAATAACAAAAATAACGGCATCGTTCCTCACAGACTGCCAGTGCTCGGCCAGCAAGTGCGGCGACAACTGCCCCTGCAGCCAGCAATGCAAATGCGCCTGCAAGAACGGACCCAAGGACAAGTGCTGCTCCAACAAAAATTGATTACAGATTATAAATAAATATGCTATATATACATAGGTCTACTGATACATTGATGCACGCCAATTGACTACTGACAATAAAAAAGAAGAATATGTAAATTTTAATTTGTTTCTTTTAGCAATTTTTTTTTTAGCATTTTCAGCGAAGAAAACCTTACAAGATATTTACCACTAACAACACAGTAAAAATAAAGATTTCCATATTCTTAAGTGTACTCATATTCATTATCAATTTCTATCAAAATAGAATGATTATCATCTCAAAATTTCCTTCATTGATATAGTTATAATTCATTGGGGTTTATCTAAGACAAATTCAAGTCTCTTAAATTCATTTAAGATCAGATATACAATAAACGAAAACACTCTTGCATATTATGTTAAAAATCAAATCTTTATTGGCCATTTTGACAAGAATAGTTCTTTAGTTCTTTCAATTCGTATATTGCTTACACTTAAAAAAATAACTCCATTTTTATCAATAAATGTGCACATTTTCAAAAATATTTCCCAATTTCAGAGTGACTGTTGTGTGGTGTATGTATGTCTGTGTGTATATATGTATGTGTGTGTGTGTGTGTGCTTGTGTATTTTTTGGGAATGCGTGCGCGAGTTGTAATTTATATTTAAACATTTAATTGAAATTGAAAACTTTACGCTCAACACGAACACACATAAAGAGTTTGTCGTTGCTCAATTCAAATTTGCTTTAGCAGCTGCACAAAAATGTGTAATTAACTTCGTTGGTTTTTAAATCTTTGTATATATATATTTTTGTTTGTTTGTATATATATAGTGTGTATATATTTATTGATTAAGTTGGGTTACTTAGAAGTATTATAAAATTCTTACAGTTTCACATTAAAAGCTTAATTGTTTACACAAAAAAATAGTATTTATTTCGTATATCATTTTCATCCTTATCGTCCCGTCTACGTTTCATCTGCTTATCGTTTCTCATGCTTTTGTGTCCTTGGCGTGAGCGACAGAAGCAACAGTTGTTTATATATATATGGTTTTTTTTTCTTTTTTTTTTGTATATTTTTTTAACGCATTTTTAATGCAATGCACACTTTGTCCTTAACGAAAATCATATCAAATATAGTACATAAATGAAATTTGTTTGCATTTGCAGCATGGAAGCCAATGAAAAAGGATTTATACATAAAGCAATTCATATATAGACATATATGTAGATACATATACATATATATGCATGCATATACAGATATTAATATGTATATAATACGTACGTACGTAATGTATAACGTATAACTAAAATGAGCACAATTGAGGTACATTTGTGTCCCAAAACTAAATAACTTAAACGTATACAAAATAAACGATTTAAAATTATAATAAAACTCACAAATTTAGATTCAACAAATATACGTAGTTACAAAAGGAAACTAACTAAATTCACGTGCTCTTCATGTCACGCAATCCATTAAAATTAAATCATTTTCATTACAGACATTTGACAAAATTGACAAAGTCGTGTCGAAAACACCCACACACACGCACACACTTGCAAATCGTGTATATGAAATGCATATACATATTTAAGCACAATTTAAAATCTTAATATCTGGGTATACCATGTGCGTGTGTGTGTGTTTGAGTTGTGTGTGGGTGTTTGTGTGTGTGTGTGTGTGTGTTGAAGTGCCGCAATTTGCATGCATTGCTCTTGTCGTTTAGTTGATTCGTTTTTTGGCGTTTCACAAATGCTGTAAGAATAAATAAAATCATGTTTAATAATTGGAAAACCAAACAGTTAGCATAAACACTTAACCACATTTAACATTTAGATGAAATTCCATTTCAAAAATTTACTTTCCATTTTTGTAAAGTTTTTTCCTTTTTTTTATACATACAACTAGATAAACATACATATAAATATATTTTGACTATGTGTAAATTCGTATACAATCCGTTCCTCAGTTCAAACTCAATTTCTGATCTAGTCTATCAGAGGGCCAATACATATAGCCGACTACTGAAACCAGCTTTTTATTTGCGTCACTCCAAATAGATATTTGTATATATATAAACTATTTTTATTTTTTTAAATACATTCAACAATATAAATTCGAATAGACGATAAACATTTGATAAAATTGTTGAATAAAATTTTTATAAAACACTTTCCATTTACTTAAGCTGTTGACTATTAATATATCATCTATCGTTTCGAGTGTATTTGTGTTCGTGTGTTTGTATATAATACGCTTACAAAGGTAACTTCAAGTGTTTCTACGCATTGGAGATCACAACCACAAATTCTTCTCCTTAATTTATTGTGTATTTACGGGCTACCGAAATATATGTATGTATATGTATATATATGTGTGTGTGTATGCCTTGTATAAATATAACGACAAATAAATGATATACATACCAAAAATAAAACACATGCCACAATGATGCATTCCAAACATGTCAAATTTACATTTGGATTCAAAGAGTTTGATAAGTTAAAGTCGATGTGCCCGATTTTGTGTGAATTGTAGAATATATGTATTGGTTGATTGATTACAGTAAACATCTAATGGACGTCGTTAATAGCGGCAAATTCTTGAAAACACGTATAGGATTCACTTGTTTTGCGTGATTTCATTAAACATTTCTCGTTTTTTGTTTTCTTCACATACATTCTATATATATTTAATTTGCGAATATATATATATATATATTTATACATATATATGTATATATATAAATACGTCGTATGCGTTGAATAGGCTTATAGTTTATACACATCAAAATTCTGCATCGTATCAAAGTCCGTCATGGGAAAATCACTACCACTAAAATTGAATGAAATATAAAAATAGAAAATCAAAATTAATAAAACAAATAAATCGATGCAATGAAAACAGCATTCGCATGAGTGATGCCAAAAAAAAAAAATGTATATATTTATAAGTATGTATGAGTCATGTGAATGAATCAGAAAATGATGTTAGTTGTGACTGAAACGAATAATGTATTTAGTAAATAGGAAGTACTAAAGAAATGTGACAAAAGGTGTATGAGTAAACAGCTCTTAATCTACAGAAATGGAGCCCCCCCGCCTACATCTAAGGCAATCGATTCTCGTGCCAATTGAATAACATTAACAACAATAACATCAAGTTTCATCTAGTGATGGTAACAACAATTACGAACAAACATAATAAAGAGGCATATAAAATGCAAAAAATATACATGCAATCAACTTGTTTATTGTATATATATATATATATATAAGTGTATTGAGAGCGAGAGAGAGAGAGAGAGGTATGGTATCTAAATCCAAAGAAGCCTCAAAAAGCAGTTGCTTGCAATTGTTGTCTATTATTGTATTCATTGCAGTGGATGTTCTTTTGGCATTTACAAATGCATGATGGTGCTATTCTGTAAGCTGCGATTATATCAAAAGTTAGAGTTTAGTTACATTAGATATCGATTAAATAGTATATATATAGAATTGTATATTGGATATTTATGGCTGCTGACTGAAAAAAAGCTTAAAAAGATGGCAATACTTTGAAGTAGAACAACTAGGGCGAACAAAACCAAATTTTACTTTTTTTTTTATGTCTGAACTCAGATTGGAGCGCCCTAAGTTTGAGAGTTAGTAAAGGAGGCAGCGACAGCGGGCATTTCAAATGAATGTGCTTGTGGCAAGTGGCGAGTGGCGAGTGGCGAGTGGCGAGTGGCGAGTGACGAGTGGGCGTGCAGTGATGAATGTATTTACTTTAGTTTCTTTATACATTTTTGAGCGACCAGAATGGGCACGCTGTTAGAGCTGTGAGCAAACGAATGATGAGAATCGAGAATCGAATTGTTGGCTTGATTTGTTTGTTTCATTTTGCTGGGTGATATTAATGCGATTGCGAATGCGATTGGTACATAAATATATTGATAGATATGTAGGTATCAAACAGTACCTTTCGGTAAGAGGCAACACCCAAACTAGCCGGCAATTCGAATTTGCATTATGTTCTTAGTATTGCACCGTTTGATTGTGGGGCGATGGCACGGCATATGTTGATTTAGTTTGCATCATCCACTGCGCTTCTTGCCCATTGGCGCACACATTGTATATGGTGTGACTTATCTGATCCAGTATGGGATCGTCTGGCGCCGTATTGTTGACATAATTCTCGAGCGCACGCGCCACAATGCCATCATCTGAATCAGAATCATCCTTGTAATAGGATGTGGTTGCGACGCTCGATGGATTACAAGACATGATGCCACTACGCGGAGAATAACTGGATGGGCACGGCACCACAACACCGAGTGTTTGCACAACAAATCAAAAACGCATAAAAGTAGAAAATGAAAATAAACAAAGAGTAGATAGAGTAAGTAAGATAGTATTTTACCACAGCTGCGTAGCACGATTCTTGTTCACTTTATTGTTGATATTATTAAACTAATCAAAACATAAAAACAATACAAATAAATAAATATTCCAAAAAACATAAACAATTAGCGCCAGCGATCAGATTTTTTTTTTTTTTTTTTGTAGACTTGTTAAACAGTGTTGGTATCGCTTTATTTTGTTTATATTTCCCTCTCGATTTCAAAGTATTGCAATCTAATCAAACTCTTGGAAATAGTTATAGGCCAAATAAAATAAATACAAATTAAAATGCAGTTAGGACTGCAAGGAAATGAAAGCCCGCCTTGCGGGGTTGGTTTTGAATTTGGGTTGGGGTGCACTGCCCAAAGTAAATACAAGTAAGAACCAAAACCACATATATAAATATATAAATAAAAAATAAATAAAAAAAAAAAAACAGAAGTTAAATAAACAATAGAAAAAGTCGGCCAAAGAGACTCTAGATGTCCAATGAGATGTCGATGAAGTCGACCATGCAAAACTTACTTTCCCATCGACATGCTATCCTGCGGCGGTGACTGCATTGAGTGATGGGGCGTGCCACTGATGGAGCCCGTATCCCCACTGGTACGCACCTGCACGCGTATCGTGCTGGGAACATATCCATCGACGCGGGGCGTTGGTTCTGTGCAGGTTAAAAAAAGGAGTCAATTTGTTAATGCGTGTGAGTGCTACGAAGGATACCCAAGTTGATTTGTTTGACATTTACACTTCGCATTACAAATTTGGAAAGAGTTAAACAAACCAATTGTTATAAAACATTCACAATGCTCGTCTGTTGTCAAACAATATCAACTCAAGGCATTCCTTTTATAAGCAATTCAATTGGAATTTTGTTTGGCTTGCAGCCGTACCAGCGCGCTGTGTATAAAAGTCGCCAAAAGCGAGATCGCGATCCAATGGCTGCACATTGACGTCGGTCGGGTGCAGGCAGCGCAGCATATCCAGATCGCGTATGCGATCAGCCAAATTGAGTATCTGGAAATCCCGTGCAGTCCATGGCGAAAGCATAGTCACCGATCCACACGCGTTCACATAGGCAATTGTGACGCCACCTAAAAAAAAAACCACATTGATATTCAAATTTATTAAGAAAGCGTTCTTGGCCAACCATATTGAATATACGCACCCAATTCACTATCGGAGAAACGCAACAGAAATGTGCCAATGCCAGTAACGGCGCGCAAGAGATCGTCGTGTGCCTTGGCCTTGTTAATGAAGCCCGTAATGCGGCCGGCTTTCCACATGGATAACAAGTGGTCTTTGGTCAGCTTCATAATGGCAAAGAACCATTCCCAGAAAGTGAAAGTACGATCCGGCAGTGGCTCCTTACAAAATTGATTCCATGAAATATACTCATTGCGCTCGCCGGCAATATTATCACGCTGCAGCTTCTCGACTGAGTAGATAAAGATATTAATGTATTTTTAAGTGAAAGTATGAAGGGTTGACCTACATAAAAACTCCAAGTTCTCCGCTGTCAGGGCGCGCTGTGTGCAGGAGCCGAATTTGGTGTTGAGTGCGACTGACAACTGACGCCAAGTGACGCGATCTGTGACCACGAACGGATCACGCACAATATCTGCAAATGCATTGTCCCAAGTAATGGTGGCCCACGATTGCGGCTCCTGGTTGCCATGAACGATAACCACCACCGGCAGCGACAGTGTCCAGACGCGAATCTGATAGTCATTCACTGTTGTGGTCGCATAGAAGAATAATGCAAACTTTTCATCCATGACGCTTTCGGTGCCCTTCTTCTCGGCGCGCTTGATCTTCTTGAGCTGCATGTTTCTAAAGCTTGCGGAGAATACATGACTGCTCTGCTGATACTCCATGGTGCTGGAGCAGTTCTGTATCTCGCCCGACGACTGTCCAGCGAGGCTGCCATTGGTCACATCCATATGTGTGCCGCGCGTAACAAAGCGCTGTGCCTGCAACTCTGCAAAGGTAATGCACCAGCAAATAGGTTATTTGAGATGTGATTGCAGGGAGGAGAGAAATCCACTTACCAGACATTATAATACACTCGACTGTGGGCGGATTCATGTGTATGCCCAGCTGTGACCCAAGCAGCCAACGCACTGACGCCGCAAAGCGTGTGTTTGTCTTCATCACCTGCGGCGGCTGTTTGTCCACAATGAAGGCAGAGCACACTAGATTCTTTTGTGCCACCTGCACTTGCTCGAGCAGACAGTTCAGATCGGGATCATCGTTTACGATGCGCACCAGGAGCGTCTCCTTGACAGCCGTCAGCAGATGGGTGACAAACGATTCGAGCAGCTCAAAGCACCGCTGTATGTCATCCAGCATATTCTCGCTAAACTGTGCTCCATTGCCGGCTAGGGCCTGTTGGCGCCGCCAGTTCTTAAGCTCCGTTATGACCAAATCTTGCAGTTGATCGTAAAACATAAAGCTGCGTCGCAGCCTGGCCACCAGGGCGGCCTTGTCCTCAATCAAACTCTTGAACAGACGTTCCGCGTCGGGCGAATTGGGTGCGTTAAGCATATAGCGATAGTTCTGCACCAAAACTTTCAGACTTTCCGAGCATGTGGTGAATTCGTTGAAGCTTTGGAATATCTGATTATGTACTTCATACAACTCCATTTTAGCTGGGCCCACTCTGCCGGGCGCAGCGGTCTCGGCCATATTATGCATTAGTCCAGCTGGCATGCCACCAGCCACTGGGGATACTCCGGTACCGGCAACACCTAACAAATCACTAGCATCGACATAGCCAGTGTTCATACCAACGGCTGCGGCAACTGCGGCATTGTTCATGTTATATGTGTTCAGCGGCATCGATTGGCCTGCGCTGGCAACGGCGACACTCTTCTCGGCTGCTAACTGCAGTTCCTTCTGCACTCCGCTGCGCAGATGCGTATATAGCTCAAGGGCCGGGGTGCGTTGGATCAGCGCGCAGAGCTCAACCAGACGATACTTTAGCACCTGATCACTGGCGCGTGTTGATAAAAGCTTCTGCTGCAGATCCTCAATGAACTTGACGGCAACGAGTTCCAATTGATTTGTCGAATTGGGAGTTATCTGCTCAGACCTGTTGGGCAACACAGAAACGGAAAGAAAAAGAATGTTCTCATTAGAATGCTATATAAAAGTCTGTTAAAATTTATCTGATTTAAATGTATATTATTCTTTTTTGAGTGCAGCTTCAGATTTTTTTTTAACAATTAATCGAAATATTGCCCATGAATAGAAATACCTTCTAAGTAGAATATAGGAAAACGCTTATGAATAAATATTTACAGCCCATACCCGTGCCTAGCTGAATACCTTGGTATCACCCACAGATCCGGCAAAGAATCGCCACTCTGAGAACACCCGGGACAACTACTCACATTATTCTGTCTTCGATCCAGGGCGCCAAGCAGAGGCGCAGGTCGTACAGACCCTTCTTATTGTAGTAAGCCGCCATGCGCTGCTCGCAGTCGGCATGGCTCGAGATGCGCTTCCACAGACTCATGCTGCTCATATGGTTTATTGGTTTGGATGAATATGGATGGGATGTTAGCGAGAGCGAAGCAGCTGTTACATGTGCTGCAACCAGGATGCAATGACAGGGATACGGCTGACAATATATGCTTTCTTTCTGTTTTCTTTTTTTTTGCTATTTATGTTTGCTTCAATTGTTTGTTATTCGCTTCTGATTTTGATCGATTTGTCATGCAATTTAATTTGGTAATTGTTTAATGCATTTTTGCGAGGCTCTCTGGCTGCTTGGTGGTGGCGGCGGCGATGACCTGGCCAAGGTCCAGCTGCTGGCTTCCACAAGCGAATCGGAAGTTGGATTCGTCCATAAAATTCACACACACGGAATGTTTGGTATGAATGGTAATGGATCGAAAAAATAAACTATAAATAAAATATACATATAAGCATATAAGTGGCAAGGATAACATGAGAGGCAGGATATTAAATGTATGTTTCTATGTATGTATGTGTGTGTGTGTATGGAGATGTGTGAGTGAGTGTGCGAACATGTACTTTGCATGTGCTAAGCGCCCTTATCAAAAATTCATTTGCACTAGCCCTATTCATCTATGAGAAGCTTTTGCAATCAAATGTTTTGTGAATGCACAGCAATGCCAAAGCTAAAGCTAATCAATGCCAAAAACAAAATCTCTTAGGTAATCTTATGAGATTTCCAGCGAAAATACAAATGTATGTTTCACAATTCCTTGAATTCAGTTTCGTTCTCAGTTATTGTTCAAGATATTTAAGTACTTTCTTTGGATTCACCACTGTTATTCTTGTGCTATTATTTACTAAAACATTCCTGCTCAGTTCAAATTAATATATAAATTAGCTTTCGTTATTTATACTCTAAGCTGCAACCCGATTTGCCAACGTCAGAACTTTCAACATTCTCCATGGCTCACATTACAAAGTCCAAATGGAATTTATGTTTCAGCATTCCATCCTTTGAATATGGCTTGTATAACAATGTGGGCAGAGCGGGATGTTTTCCAAACAAGCGAAATAAAGCTCCATTGCTGACGCACTTTGCGTCCAACTATAACAGAGCTCGTCAAAAGAAGCGCCATTGGGTGTATGTGTGTGTGTGTACGAGTGTGTGTGTGTTTCTATGGTTGTTGCGTGTGCTGTGGTACAGAGCTTATGGCAGAGAAGAGATACGACAGAGCCATGTGCTAACAAAACACAACTTTAATTACCATAACAAAAATAATGGCGAAAGGCAAACAATGCGACAACAACTCGCACAACAGTGAGAAAATAAACAAAACGCAGCCAGAATGGAGGCAAATATCTGACGCACCCCTATGGAAAGGTGCACGGTGTTGGACACTGGGACGGCTGGACAGGTGTAACAATTAATTGTGCGCCTTTTAGCAAGATCATTTGGCGTTCAGTGGCGCACAGTTTATGCTCGTTGTATCGTCGTGTGGGGGACACACTAAAACGTGATCGCCCGAGAAACAAACAGCAGACGGGAACAACAACAACAGACACAACGAGCCCCCGGTAACCCGACGTCCCCAGCAGAAGAACGACTCATGCCCAGACGTTTGTTTGCCTTTGTGGTCGATACGCTAATTTTCGTAGTTCTCTAGAAAAAAAGGGACAACAACGTGAGCACAGCGCACGTAGCAAATATGAATGGCCCGAGAAATGGCCAAACAAGCCAAACCAGTCCGACGAGGCTCTGAAAGAGAGCAGTCCGCAGCCGTAACAAAAATTAGATAGAAATCAAAATCCACACACATATACACACACACAAAACAAACACACGCACACAATGAAATACGGCAGGCTGTAGAGATGGAAGCGACTGTAGAGACGTGACACGATGTGAGGAGAATTCATGCTTAGGATCTGGTTTGATATCACACAACAGGTAACTCAAATCCAAGTTTAATCGATCAAAACCAAATATAAGCAATTATATAATCAGGTACTAAAACTTACAGGATTTATCTTTTCTCAATCATAGACATCAACAATCCAAAATTTCACCTCACGAATGCTCGCTCTCTCGCATCTCTATGCAACCAAAAGGGACAACAGCAACAGCGATATAAAAACAGGTCATGCCCGTGTCGTGTGTGTTACCTGCTGCACAAGTCTGGCTCTGGTCGACTATCAAAACCGATCGGATGTGCGGCTGACTAGAGAGTCGAAAGCCCGCGGCGACTCCGCTTAGGTAGCCAAACGATATTGTGTGCAGGTTTATCTACGATTCATGACTTTTTTTTCCTACTCGTTGGTTTACTTTCTGCCTCTGCTGGCGTTCTACCGACTGGTTAGTAGTTCAAGGCTGCTGCTTCAGCTGCTGCTGCTGCTGCTCCACACAATGCAAATGCGAGTTCAGTGGAAATTATTGCTGATGTTATTGTTGTTATTAATGAAAATATTCCGTTGGTATTTGTTACGGCTTCGTGTGGGTCTCTAACAAAATGGCTGCATTTACTTACGACCTTGAACGTTTTTTGCTATGCAAATTGGGCTATAAAAATTATGTACATATCCAAATATACATTTATATATATGTATATATATATTCCTTTGTGGCAGCCAACAGCCCAGCCACCCACCGGGCGGGACCAAGTGAGCAAGTGAGCGTCGTATTCCTTTCAATGTTTATTTGTTTGTTTGTTTTATTTATTTATTGACCCGGTCGGTCTGTTATGATGCGAAATACACCTGCGTCACCTGAGATAAGCAATGTCCCAGCTGACATGTTTATAAATAACGATACAGCACAGGACGCCCGAGTATTAATAGGAATTAAATGTATATCTATGATATATGTGAGTGGGAATATATATGTACATGTATATATCTATATATTTACAAACAAGGGAAATGTGCTCGCAATTTAAGCCAGAAAAGACACCCGTTTAGGAAATTTTAGCCTTGCCTTTTTAACTCTATTCACAAAGGCTGAGGTAATTCAAGCAACTTGTATTACATTTTAAATGTTCTCAAAAGAAAGAAATATTCTTTAAATTGCGAATTTTAAAAATACAATCACTCAATATTACGGCTTCTTGGCCACTTCTGATAAGAATACAACAATCAGAAAAAATAAGCAAGAGATGGATTCTAAAAATGAATCAATTTAAGCGGAAGACGGTGACAATTTGATAAAGAACTCGACCGCTGACTGGGCCAAGCTAACTTCTTATCAGTTGCATTGGCAAAAGTTCAGACACGATCTGAATATTTGGGCTGCTCTTTGGGCACTATGGCATATGCTTATTTCTGGCCGTTTTCCCAGAATTTCATATTTTGCTTAGAAGTTGGCAAAATCAGGCCATTGTCTAAAGCATATAATTAACACAAGCAAATAGCCTGGCAACGCATAATAATTAAATGTGCATATTAATATTTATTATGTATGGATGTGTTTGTTGTTCTGCTCGGCATCCTTGGATAGAGCACATTTTAGCATTCGACCTACAAATATGTGAAGAGCAAGCCAAGCGTGCGACTTCAAAAGCCAAAATATAGAAAGCTATGCCGCCTTTTGTTGTTTACCTGCCATAAAATATGAAATAAAATAAAGCTGAACGAAATCCAGCAACAAAGTTGCCAAAAACATAGTCTGGTTAGATACCGTGGCATACATAATATATTGACGATGAAACGAAGCCAATAAAATTGAATACAAAATAAGTGATCCGAGCGGCAACGCATCAAAAATACTCTCGAGTAAACTCTTTAGGCATTTAAATAAATAAATTATAATTTTTTATAAACCCAACAGAATAAACCACGCAGCAGATTTGATAAAAGATCTCTGTTAACATACATTAACTCATTTAATAATATGTACATGTAAATGTTACTAACAACAGAAAATGTTAAAAGCAATCGTGACAAATCTGTTAGAGCTGTTAGGTGCTTAACATAACAAGCTAATGTTAACAGCACTGAATCTTATCGTTTCAATTCACTTGACCTTTTACTAAGCGGTTAATTAGCCACAATCGGACCAAAACTATCAATAATTCCAAATGGCCATTGGGAAGAGTATACGAATTCGATAACCCGTAGTATTGAGGCGACGGTAGAACATATGTGTGCATTGTATTTGTTTGTATTTAGCCTCAACTGCAGCACAGCGCAGTTGGTTAGGGGCGATAATATTTATAAAGCAATACGTTCATAAAGCGGCCGTACACCGTGCATACGTAAACATTGACCACCCAATTCAATCTGAAATATTTAACGCCTCCAATCGAAGCGAAGCGAAGCGAAGTGAAACGAAACGAATCGAATCAATTTAAAACTTTGTCGTCAATGGGTTAAAAACGTGTCTACACTCTGGTTTACATGCAAAGCAACGAATTCATAAATTCGAATCAGTTTCTCAACAAGGGAGAAACTCGTATCTTTAGATGCGCATTGACGTGTGTATTTCAAAGCAGTTCCAACGAATTACCCTCACTCTTGCACAAATTTACATAAGTAAATTATAAAATTCTAATAGTCATTAGTCAAGCCGATTAATGATCAATAATAAAATGCCAAAATAAGGAAAACATATATTTCGATATATTTACATTTATATGAATGTATACATTTCACATAGTACAGTAGCTAGACCTTGGCCGTCACAAAAGCTTTTGCCAAAATTCATTTTCCGCACAATCCGCTTTTTTCTGGAATTTGTAATATAGTGAAAAACTTATTTAAACAAACTTGGTATGCGATTTTCCAGGAAGCTAGTCTAACCATATTTAGTGTAAGCCTTTAAAATCAAATGCGACATATTGCTGTAGTCAAACAGGTTGACTAGATAACACAGAACTTTTTATAGGGATTTTTATTACCCCTTTGTTTTTTCTATGAAATTGATAAAGAAATAAGCCGCGTTCGTCTCGTCCCTAGTTAAATTTATCAAGCTATTTGCACGCGGCGCTGACATCTCATCAGAATATGTACTTAAAATTGGGATGTTCTTAGAAACAATACAATTTGCGCCTTAAAATGGAAAATGGAAAAGTT